TCCGTCATTGAGAAATGTGATCAAGACAGCATCTTGCTTCACAGAGGCTTGTGCAGCAAGGGTCTTGAAACTAGCAATGTAGGAAGTGAGGTCGCCTGTCTGCCTCAACAGTTTGGAGTTTATTCATGGCTGTGCCGATGGCATCAGCCAGTACGAAAGCTTCTTTGAATTTGGTTTCAAAGTTCGTGAAGGTCCCATAGGATTTGGCGACGGTGTTCTCGACTTCCGTGTAGAAAGTCAATGCCCATCCCATGGTGCTTCCTTCTGTCATATATGCAAGAGCGGTAATAACCTTCTTTTCATTGGTGTTGTAAATTGTAGCGTTAAGTGTAAAATACGCTTTAACTGCGTACAACCATTGTAGAGCCTGGTGAGGGCTTCTGTCGTAGGTAGACGGTGCTCCGGCTTTCAATTCTGGGGTGGTGGACATCCTGAGCAGCTAGTCAGGTGTTTCTGGTTCAGGGGAACGTTGTCGTTCTCTCACTGAGTTCTTTCTGGTATCTGTAACCTCTCTGATGGAGAGGGTCGTTTGATGACTTTAATCTTTTGTTATGGCGAACTAGGATGGGCACGACAACAGGTACTCAATAAGAGCATGCCTGAAGCCGGATCGTATCCTTACAAATGTAAGGTTCTTAAGACAAGTCGAAGAGAGTGTCTTTGGCTTGAATATCGGTTATCAGATGACTTAGGATTGGGGGTCCTAAGCGAAGGATAGTTCAGGTAAGACCTAGTAGATTAAAGTGAAGTCTATCTAAGTACATGACCAGATTTATATAGGTGTAAGTACTTTAGGGCAGGTACATATACATCATCAGTCGAGTCAGAGATAAGGGAATGAGTCATCTAGCGACGGCACGTGGCGATCATGATGTAATACAGATATAGGAAGTGGTTAGTCTAATGATGGCACAATGAGGTGCGGTCATGACGTAATACACAAGTAAGAGGAAAAAGAGATAGGGGGTGACCATGATTGTAACAGGTGTGACCAAATGAACATTAGGTTCGAAGGTTCACAGGGGGGTGTGACGCATGACACACTGCGCTTAGGTTCAACAACCAATGTTGGGGTAGACGCATTCCCTTGTATACATGCAGCAGCTAAGGGGCCGCAGTGATCCTCATGACCCATGCTGGAGATGCTCACCTCAAGAGCTTTGTCTCTAATTTGACTTCCGTCTGGCAACATGGCAATGTCTTCTCACTATGTTATGGTAAAGTCTTGTCAGTGTGGATCCTCCAATGTTTGGCAAGCAAGCCATAGCTCAGTCCACAAGATGGACATGGTCTGAAACATTTCCCATACAAGTTTTCTACACCATGCCTGACCTTCATGTTGCCTCAGAGGCTAAGTTCCAGGATGTGTTATCTGTGCCTGCACAGTTCTCAATTGCTCCTTCAGGCAGTCTTTCTGTCGCTGCATTACTGCTTATCAACCTGCCTACAGTGTTAGAAAACAGTGCTTCAGCTGCTAGAATTGTTTTTTCCAAACAGTCCCCTTTGCTCCAGTTGCCCATGGACTTTGTTTCACTGACCTGTTCCACCATTTCAAACAGCCTCGTCCCTTCACAATCATGATAGAGGTGCATTTTGAGATGGAGATAAATCAGTGATCCATCCTTCATTCCCCAATGACCCACTTCCAATGTGGGTTGTGTCATACTGGGTCACTATGTCGCATGCACTTGAGAATCAGCGTGATTGGTGCGCATCACACGACTGGGTCTATGACAGATTTGATGTTGTTCCTACTGACGGACAAGAGTTGGAAATTATTGACGAGGTTCTAGATGTCTTAGAGAGCCTTCCATGGGATGCCCCTCTCAAGGGATTCAGTGCTCAGACAGATCTGGGGTAATTTGCTGGCGGATAACGAGTCAGAGAGCTATGAGCGAGGGGTACTGGATGACATGACAGGGCTTCAATCTATGGCTGATGGGTCTATGGAGGTTGAGGCTGAGGGCCGTGGCAAGCGCAGACGTGTTGCGAACACTCAGTACAAAGACTTTTGGATGCATTAGATGTTTTTTTTTGCGTTTTTACCACTTGTCACAATTTAGGTTCAACAGCCTCAAAATTGGTGTGACCGTCACGAAAAATAGGTTCGATTCGCCAGGCGTGTGACGGTGTGACGAACCTAGGTGCGTATCTCGACAGTAGTAAGCGGTAACAACTATGTGGGCTAGCACCAACTTGAGCGGTAAAGACTCAAAAGATCACGATTGGACCACGATACTTTTGTCATTGATTCATCAACGAGCTCTATATCATATCTTTGTATGCATCAGGTCCGAGTCACGGAGTACATGCCAGATGCCAGACACTGGCAGCTTGAGTGTCTCATCGATTGAATCCGGATGTAATACGTTCAAGTTGTTCCACTGGTTCTACAATACGTACGTACATGCGTATGCGCAGGAGCTACGGGAATATTACACAAGGACACAGACGTTGCCAAAATATGCATTGACCGATTATTGATCGAGCGGATCATGAACGTTTGGAGTAACACTTTTTTCTTCCGAGCTCATGCACATGACCTGACGCATTCAACACCCTACACGACCATTAATATTGTGGTCTTCGCGATCTCTCATTCATGAATGTCTTTTCTGCACAATCACACAGGACACAGCTGATTCTGGCAGCTATATCTGCATCTCTACTGACATCAGGCCTGTTTACTGCATATAATGCCTACAGTCGACGCGAACGGAGACGCAACCTCGATCGAGACATTCTCAAGTCAATAGCAGACCAGGATGAAGGTCCCAAACAGTGTTTGATACCAAAGGGCGATGAGTTATTGAATGAACAAATTCTTCGCATTGGTGCTGATGGATATGACGAAGAGCTGATCAGAGAGCAGCTCGCGCGGTGTTATGCGTTTTTCGGAGATGAGGGTATGGCACGCGTTCGGGAAAAAACTGTTGTCGTTGTTGGGTGCGGTGGCGTCGGTAGCTGGGTGGCAGTCATGTTGGTGAGGTCGTACGTGCTTATTACCGTCTACTACCCGTGTTATTGTCATTCACTAACTACGTGCAGAGGCGTGTCGAAGATCCGATTGGTGGACTTCGACTATGTGACGCTTTCTTCGTTGAACAGACATGCCACAGCTGTACTTGCGGATGTAGGAATGCCGAAGGTGGCATGCATTGAGCGGACTCTCAAGCAGATCAGCGCGTGGGTGGAGGTGGACAGCCGCGTTGAGATCTGGAGGAAGGAAGACGGGGGAAGGTTGCTAGAGGGAGCAGACTGGGTCATCGGTATGTCAATGTGCTTCCTGATCTCGTTCGTCTTCCATTCAGCTTGTTGTGAAAAGATGCAATAGACAACATCACCACAAAAGTCGACTTGCTGAAGTATTGCCATGAGCACCACATCAAAGTTTGTCCTAGTCACTGACTGATATCCAATCGTATCCAACTCATGCTACTGTAGGTGTTCTCGTCTATGGGAGCTAGTGCAAAGACAGATCCTACGAGAATTCAGATTAGTGACATCTCGTACACCATGTACGACCCTCTCGCACGTTCTGTTCGGCGCAGGTTACGGCTGCAGGGTGTATCCTCAGGGATTCCTGTCGTTTATTCTACAGAAGTCCCTGGAGATGTGAAGTTACTCCCCCTTCCCGAGGAAGAATTCCAGAAGGGCGACGTTAAAGAACTTGGAGTATTCGATGATTTCAGAGTGCGAATATTACCGGTCCTCGGTATGCTTTGATTCTTTGCAAACTGGCATCCTGGTATCTTACTGTTCTTCCGCGGGGCAGGCTCCTTGCCATCTCTTTTCGGGCTGCACATCGCGACTTACATCCTCTGTGAGATGGCCGGAAAACCGATTTTGAACCCTTTGCCCATAAAGAATCGCAAGAAGCTTTATGAGCGCCTCCTTCGTGATCTCTTGCATCGTGAATCGAAGTTCATTGGGGAGCCGATCAAGTGAGTTTACACATCACATCTCTTGACCTGCCTTACACTTTACGCAGTAAACTACCTATCGACGAAGATGATGTCGCGCTGATATTTGAGGATCTGCATCTCGGTCGTTCTGTCGTGCCTCCTCACGCTGTTCCTGCACACCCAACACTCCTGCGGTGGGACCCAACGAAGCCACTCACTCTAGAGAACTGCGTGGTCTTCGAATCCACGGAGGCAGCGAAGCACGTTAGTAAGTGCTTGACACCGCAGACCGAGGAAGCACATTCAAGAAAAACCCCGAGAGCTGTCTGGGGAGACGAAGTGCAGGCTATTGTGGAACGTCATGCAGGAGACGTGGCAAAATACAGAACGTGGGTTGGGCTATAACGAGTCATCGCCAGCATGCATGTCCATCAGAAAGACTACTGCATATATATAGATCGAGTTTATCGATCATATCAGGAGGCTTCGGTTTCTGATAGAAATCGAACTGCGGCGCATAGATATCCAATAGGTTATACTGTAACGATACAATCTTCTTTTAGTATTACTTCACGAGCCATCTTACAACACCTCCCCACTGCGCTATTCCCATCTCGTCATTTGGCCCGGGGTCCTACGTAACATAGATGAGGGTACGTCTTTGAGAGTTGACTACACAGAGAGTTATGAAGGCGCCAACAAGTAGCCCTGTGACGATACAGGTTGCGGTTTCGGCTAGCGAATGCGGTCGGTGCTTTGGGTGTCGCTGAGGTTCTCCAGTGTGGAGATTCCGGTTCTGGTATAGGCTGAGTCCGCTCTATGGCGGACTGCTGTTGTTGGTGAACAACAATCGTAGGGGCAAAAATGAGGGTAGGTGTCTTCGGCCGATTGCTATCCGGATTCTCAGAACCAGGCGTGGCTACATCAACCAGAGTAGCTGCGAAAGAGATGCTGCTGCTGGGGCGGTAGCTGTTGGGAGCGCTAAGATAAGAGTATCTTCGTCCATCGACCATTCGACGATAGACGCTGGGGGGGAGGGGGGCATAACAATGGATTCTTCGACCTCGGCTTCTATTATGTCGTTCGTGGAATCGACTGATGAAGCAACTTCAGCCTCTTCGTAGTCTTGTACAACACGTTCAAGGTTGGAAACCACCCCTTGCAATCTCCGAACCTCTTCAACCGCCTACTCCCTTCTGCTTCTCTCGAACTTCTTCGCCGACAGATTGGACGAGGGAGCGAATGACATCCCACATCTCGGTGTGGTCTCGTGACCACCACTGAGCTGGCCATTGCGCAATTATGAAGGCAAGGCTGCAGACTGTCTCAGTCGCTTCAGTAAAATCGTCGACGACAACACTATGGAACCAGGGACGCAGAAATGTCATTGCCAAGCGAACGGAGCTTCCAGTTGCATCGCGAAGACGATGCTCAGTGGGAAGGTGCAAGAACTGATCCGACATATCTTGGCAGAACTGGCGGAAACTAGGCTTGCGATCCATGGTATCCCATGATAAGATATTAAACTGCGATAAAGACGACCGCTTATCGACAACGGTATCTTGGCGGAGGAAGTATGACGGGAGTTTGTCGATGATGCTTAGAAGGGGGACTGAGGCTAGAACAGCCGAACCGGGGATAGATCCATGAACAAGGACGTCTTGCGACTCCAATGCGAATCTGTACCACTTCCAGTAGTCCAGATGTCTTCTACGTCATGAAATCAGCTTATCAGAGCAACCAAAAGTCCGATCAAAAAAACACTGACTCATTGGGTGTGCCCTTTCTTAGTAGCTCCAGAGCGGTCGCAGCTCGACCGGCGAGCTGACGTGCATCGATGATGGCGATTTCAATGTCATGCTTGAGACCAACCCGGTACCTGCGGGAAGCCTCCCAAATAGCCCAGGCGAAGCTGAACGTAGTCGAGATATAAGGAGACATGTGTCTCTGCGTCCAGTCCATGTGCTGGGCAACATCCGCATAACTGCTCGTTGAAGCTACTGACTTTGCCTGTAAATGGCTGTCGAAGTCGCTCTGCGGCCTCTCTATATTGCTCGTTGTACTTCTGGCCAACAAAGTAGGGCTCGGTAGCATCAAAGAATGGGGAGCGTTGCTTCGGAGTATATACCCGAAACAAGAAGGGGTTGTCCTGAATAAGGTGATCAAAGGTATGATCAGAGCCATACCCGTATTGAGGTAGCGGACCACCTGAAATTGGGCTCTGAGGCGAGGATAAAACGACGGTCATCGTATGTAACGTCGAGGGGCCAGAGGATATAGATCAGCAAGTTGGGCTGAAGGAAATGCTTTTCTAGTAATTGGAATTGACCTCGTGTTGTCCAGCCCTATCGATCCGGTTCATGGATATGAAGACAAACACATGGACTCAACGAGGCTTTTAATTGCATGTACAGGTCTGAAATGGAAAGCAATTGAAGGCCCCGCATATCAGCTGGAGTCAGACAGCTGCCACTTGACGAGCTTTCCGCTGACCAGAGTGACAGCTGCGCGTGAATCGAAATTCGTCAATGTTCTTGACTGGGGGCGGACTTGGGGCAGATAGTAGTTGTATAATTCCTACATCATGTCGACGCCTGGATGTAGATACCTTAAACTTATATCCAGATGCTGAATGAGCTTTTTGTGTTCCGTCTGACATTGCAGGTCGAGCACAAGTTACTCTGTCAAAAAGGACGACTGGTCGACCGAGTGGACGCTGAGTTTCAATTCCGAGTTAGGGCATGCATCTACAACGTTTCGCCGGAGAACCCACGAGGATTCATCGTTTCTTTGCACAGCACCTTCAATATACCTCATCCCGTGTGCTCGGTGAGATGCTTGGCAGCATGGAAGCTGCACGATTCGATGCGATACAGCCTTCAGGCCGCATCTCGGAGAAGACTCAGATCATATTATGTGAGATTCATGCTAGAATACGTATCTCAGTTTCCAAGCTGTGATCTGAGTTTGAGCTTGTGGGGAAAACGCACCCGGCCTCGACGGCTAAATGAACGCCTCTCTCAAAATGTCATGGTACAATGTGTACTCATCTTCCTTGGCAACCTTTTATGTATTCGTCCAAAGGTAAGTCTTCAACGCTACTAGTGTCAACAGGAACTAATAGTATATCAGATTTCCACAGATGCTCTCAACAAGCAATCATTCATTTCGATAATCTCCTCATTTTGGCGGTCCTCTTCGCTACCTTGTATGCAACTACAATTCCAGCCACGTCGGGAGCCTATACCTAGTATGTAAGGGATCTGCAATTGTGCGATATTAATCTCCATGGCTAACAGTACTAGCGGGCCGTGGCGGCGTTTATGCGGCACTCGTTCATCCTTCTCTAAATGTAAATCTTTTCCACAGCTCCCCATTGATCATGAGTTAACTACTAACAACGGTTAGTGGTCGTCTGGCATCCGCACCTTTCATCTCGGCGACCAAGCAAGGCTCGTTTCAAGGTTGTTTGCGCTTTCAACGAAAGAAGTCGGCAATAGGCAAGCTGCTGACGGAGATATGCTCTTGGCATAATTCTATTGCCGTTTATCCCAAGAAGAGTAGTGTGGCATAGTAAACTTATGTTCAATTATAGAGTGCTTGGCAGCATCAGAAATCACAGTTTCCATGCTTTCCACCGAGGTCGGCGCAGTCTTGTGATTGAACAGATGAGTCGAACTGCATTTCACTATAGCCGCTTCAATTCCGCTACAAGTATTTTTCTGATTATTCTAGATCTCACTGTTCCCAGAGAAAATTCTATGGGTTTTACCCCCTGTATCTTCGGATTAAGATGATCTCAGTACCGGTCATCCCATGCATCATATCTGGTATATAAAAGCGGGTTCTACAGACTGTAATGCTTAGCGTCCCACTTATTATCCAGCCATGTCTTCGCTGCGTCGCCCAATTGCCACTGCACTACAAGGTGCATCATCTGGAAGAGTCACACAATCCTTACCTGCGTGCCTGTCCTCATCCATGTCAGCTACGGTGACTGCGCAAGAATACGAGGCACTCACTATTCTGCCAATCTTTGACATCTTTGACGCCCCAGTACGCCTGGGGGAGTCTTGCGCACCTGTGAGACGAACAGCCACGACCACTCGTGCTGCTACCCTCGAACGCAACGGTGAAAAATTGCGCAATGCCGCTAGCAACTTCACTCGAGCTCGCCATTTCTCCTCACTACCTCCCCCCATCGTGTTTGATGGCCCTGCTCGCCCGGCACATTTATTGCCGCGAGCCCTTGAAAATCGTCGCAAAATGCGGCAATACCTATCTCTCTCCCCTAACAGACAGGCGCACACCCCTTCAACCCCCTTCATATCAACCTCAGAACCTGTATATGAAATCTTCGATGGACCTTCGCGAATAACCCGTTATAGATACCCATCGTCGTCTTCACAGGTACTTCGGATTCTATCTGAGGCTGTCACTCACTCACGTACACCCCCTCTTAGTCTTCATCACTGCCATATGTTTGCCTTGTTCTGGGTATCTCTGGAGCCTTTGGCTGGACCAGCTGGGCGGCCAATAGCGGCAGGGAACGGGGACATCTTTATAAGCGGGCATGAAACTCTTATCCATATTTAGGCTCGAAACAAGTACCGTTTCACGCCGAGATGTGTGCACATGTCGAACTGCGAAACGCGCGGGCCCTAGCTCCATTACTTGGGTTGTGGGCCCTCAAGCCCAGCTATGCGGCGTTTAGGCATACAGCTATGCGTGTCCGGTGTTATATTTTCTCGTTGGGCGTTCTTATCTTTACGTTTCGGATCTTATTTCATGTTTGACGCCCATTCACAGCTTATGAACCAACCCCGCATTTCATATATTTTAGAGCCATGTGTTGTTTCATATTGTACGGTGTGTATCGATAGCGTATCATAGAAGTGTAGCCCTTTAATTTGTGTATCACTGTCCTTGCAAGTGCAATCACGATGTACCAGTCTCCTTGTTGCTACCAACATTATTTGCTGAAAGACATACTAGTACTACCATATACCAGCTTAAATTTCGAAGTTCAAATGCTCTTTTACATAAGAGGGTTCGATCTGAATGCCAGGTCTCACGGTTTACGTTATTACTCAGGGATTCGTTCGAGCGCGTCAACACGCATCGTGCACCGCTAGTGACTAACACGACGCAAAAGAACAATTCATTCATATTGTGCACTACTACTTGTACTGTCATATAGCCACATACCTATATAAAAATGCCAGAAACCCAAGTGAGACTGTCAGGAAGCTTTTCCTCCTAGACTCGTCGTGAACTGCGTTATGCATGGGTGTGTTCGACGATGACCTACCGCTCCCCCTACCGTAACAAACTTTCCAAGTTGCAATGCTCGTGCTGTTTCAAAGCAGTAGGGCATACAAGGTCCGCATGACTAATTGTGCGGGGCGCGACATCGGAGCAACACCCCACGGACCAAAATCTCCCTCACAACTGAAAGCAACGGCTCAACCACATCCACATCTACTTCATCCTCGAGCGTGGTTGGCTGAAAGTCTATCACTTGCAAGTTGCAAGTTGCAGTAACTGCCAGCGCATCCATAATACCATCAACCCCTGATTTGGTTGGGCACCCCACTAGAGTTAATTTCCGTAACACAGGAATATGGAGGTCGTAGAATATTTCGGTGAACCAGTGCCAATTCCAGGGCAAAAGGAGAGTCAATGATTCAAGACAAGAATACGTGACCGATTGTCTTGTAGCGCGACAACAATCGCCGATTAAGCCCTCCACCACGATTGTCTCCAGATTAGGAGAAGTCACTGAAACGGAGCGGATAGTACTGGGGGAAGCCCATTGGAGATGAAGATGTCGTAAATTTTTGTAGATAGGAATAAGAACGCCAGCCATCCCCTCGCTGATGCGTAGCTGACGGAGATTTGGTGCGTTGAATTTACCAAGAACTGACCAGCTACATTCCAAGGTTTTCAATTGTGGCGTATCCAACTTAGATCTGGGCCATTCGCCTCCACATGACGCACCAACCACCGTTTCCCACCGCCTGCTTTCGGACTGAAGAATCTCGAGAAGTCGAAAATCTGCCTGGGAAAGTGGGCAGTAACCACGTATAACTTTGCGCTTGGCATACTTGTAGAGACGATATGGTAACCTGATTCGATTGATGCGAATGGTGAGAGGCTGGCTAACAGAGCGGGCGAGCCAGCATTGAAGCAGGCATGGGGGGAACGGCTTGGATCGTTTGGCTTCACCGGGAAGCGTCACCTGGATGCACGACCAAAGCTCTGTCGTTGAGTGTGCGACAACTCGCCAAAGGTGGCACACCCGGGTGAGGAATATAGGAGGGCTGCAAAAAATTCTCGAGGTGCAGGCATTTATCATTTTGAAGATACTAGGCCAGTCTGAGAGGTCCGAGTCGCTGACAACGAGCAAAAATATTTGCTGTAAAAGTTCCACTGGCAGCTGATGGACGTGCGGCTCAGGGTTATCTAGGTGGATGGGAAGGAAGTGCGAATTACTAAGGGACAACGTATCGGTCTTGTGATGGGGCACTGTCATATCGTTCTGGTGGAAGCTTCGTAGAGAGAGATGAATAGGGGCCTCGGTTGAACTTGCAGCTCAATTGGTATATTTTCAGATGGCACGTGACCGATTACCAGGTTCAACTCGGGGAAACCAACGCTGTGAAATATGATGCAAAATACCAGAGACTCATGAGACATAAAAGGCGGCTAGGAGATGTCTTTAATCTGAAGTGTCGCAGATACAAAGAACTCTCATCAGTGGTAGCCTACATCAATTACATTTACCGGATGTCGTAGATTATAAGTGCGGTTATCTGATCTTAGCATGATGAACAACAGCGACAATTAACTCGGATATGAATCTTCCTTTAAAGGGGAAAACCAATGTTGTGTTGCATTGGCCTTGTAACGCTGGGGTGTAACCATTACACCGCTGAAAAAATCCGGACGTCCCTGTGGGTAAAGTCAGCTCAATGCGCTACCTCCGAAGAATGCCGCCAAATGAGAATGCGAAAACTCACCGTCCACGTCCGCCCATCACTTACTATCGTCCTCAAATTCACGCACGCCTGCATCATGTATCTCACATCATTCCTTGCCAAGGTCGCACGCGGGCCGTGGCTTGCGTGGGCATCACCAACATCGGTTAACGTGTGCAATTCTTTCAAACTTGATATTGCTGTAGTAAAGGCTTGCTGGAACGACTCCTGTGATGATGTATCTCCGCCATAAGGAGAAAAAGCGTACAATGTCTTTGATTGGCAGTGGTATTTCCAGCATTTCCAGATCTTTGCACCTCGAGCTTAGCTTTCCAACCATGTCGATTGAGACTGCACAGTCCATGAGAGCAAGACGTTTTAAAGGCATTGTGACGCCGTTAGACGGAGCAATGAGATCAATGACAGAGTTCCACATAGGGAGCTGACGATCCGCAAACTTGAGCACAAGTGTAGACAGGGAGGTCAATGAAACAAAGAGCGATGAAATTGTCACAGCCGTCATATCAGATATCGGGCGCACATCAATAGCGAGATGCCGCAGGTTGGGTAAGGTGATAGCAAGTGGGTAAAAAATACTTGGTGGAGGGGTATTTTCCTGCCGAAAATAAGCAAGTATCAGAGATGTCCAATGAGGCAAGGTCGTACGAATATAGTGAAAGAAAATTCCTTCAACGATGGGGTGTATGCTGTGACAGCTTTGATGACTACTGTATGAGGAGCCTTTGAACATCCAATGACGTGCAGCCCACGAAGACGAGGCAGCAGGCAGAGCAAGGCTTCCAAAAGTATGCCATTCACTTCTTGAGACATCTAACCAAACCTCAGCAGATTGTTGAAAGTAAGCAAAAGTAACGCACAAAGATCGTGAGGTGCGAAAGTGTCCGTTGTAACGACTGCGCCCATCTCGTCAGCGAATCTACAACATTCCAGGTCGGGTAGTCCAGAGTCAGGCTTCGCAGCGTTGTGATTTTTTGCAGCATCTCCCCTTGTGTCGTTGTGAGTGCGGCATAGACGTGCACATCCTGCAAGCGTTTTTTCCCCTGCAGGGAGCTGAGCAGGGCTGGGAGGATCCTCGGCCCACACACAAACGATGTTAGGTTTTTGCAAACCTTCAGTGCGTCCGCAGTTTCCGACAGGAATTTCGGATGCACTTGTCCAACCGCGACGAACGGTGCACAATGTATGTCAATGTGACGAACATGGACAGCTAGATCAGGGTGATGGCGGAGGGTGAGGAATGGTGACATTATCTGATGCATAGTTATGAGAAACACGCTTTTTCACGAATGTTCGACCTACCCCTCCCTCGGGCCTATATCGTTTGGCATGCTTTGCGGTGAAAGAGACCGTGGCATACAAACACGGAATAACGCCAGCGAGGAACGACTTGCTAACAGACGAGACAGCAACGAGATCATTTCCAGAGACGAATGTAAAAATTAACTCGAGAACATCGAGATTCAGGTTGTCTGCCGTAACCATCGGTTGAGTGTTCGAAGTAGAAGTTTTCAGACTGAGATGTGGGTCCACCCGATCCACACACTAATTGTCCGGGTCTTCTGCGACAGCGGTTGGGTCCGGCTTGCAGGTGTAACCACCTGTCCTGAAGTTGTCCTGAAGGGCAAGAAGAAAGACCACCTGTTCCTTGTGCAGCCTCGATAGCTGAGCGCTGATCACCGGCGTTGTGCCAATAATGGCGTCGACGAAAAGTGCCAGCCATATACCCATCTACGGTTCCGTGCTATCAAGTTAACTACTAGTGCTATACATGTGATAGACGTCTGTCTTGAACTTCCTTGTCTCCACGCATTGGCATGTAATGCTTCCATATGTGAGTGCGCAAACGCACACCTACTGGAGTTACAGTAACGCACGAGTATTTGTAACAGCACAACAAACGTTTGCCTATATGCATACCTGTTGGCACCATCTTTCATGTTCAAATCTCCCATGTAATCTCGTGACGATCTCCATATAATCGGGTTCATCATCGGGTGTCAAGTGGCCGTGTCGGACAAGGAAGTCGATGAGGACTATGTGGTCAATTCAATGCAAACTTTGTGGATCATTTGCATTAGCACTTACCGGCGGCGCAATTGGGCTTGAAGATTCCCTGCCGCATCTTGAATTTCACTTCATCCAACGATAGCAGCTATTTCATAGGATCGGTTGGCGTGATCGAGAGGTAGAGACTTATATACGTACATCAAAAGACTCCACCTCACCGTCTGATGGGCGGGGCTGGAACGGAGTATCGTGTGGTACCTCGAGATCGTAATTGTATCTAAAGAGCGTTGTCATTGAGATCCCTATACACAGATTTATACACAGAATCAGGCAGCGCTTACTCGACCTCTGGTTGCAAGAAGTGCATTTTGTTCCTGTAGTCATCCCATGGTTATACTTCGTGATTCACCCCAAATGTCTGACAGACCGATACCTGAAGAAATAACTGATTGTTCCGACGGGTCTCGCATGATCCCTCACGATGTCTGCTTCCATACTGGCTTCCTCCTCGCACTCCTTGACGAGGCTCTCGAAGACAGGCATGCCACTGGGTATCCCGCCAGCAACAGTGTTATCTAACCAGCTCGGCCACCTGATGTGGCGATTCAGCTATGTACTTTATGAACAGACCGATTAAACTCACGTCTGTTTCGTCTTCGCACGCGTTGGGACCCAAATTTTCACTTGTGGGCTGCTGGCTATCCCTTGATAGATAGTCATATGTATCCCATAGGTTACGACACCAAAAAGAGCACATGCAGCGCGCTCCATCTCAAAGGCGTAGTTTCCTAGTCCCTCGTCAGAATCATTCTCAGGATAGTAGTCGTGCACTCCAAAAGGATTCCGATACACAGGGTACATCTCGTTCCGCCATTTCCGGGGCCCGATGCTTGCAGGGAATACACCAGTGTCGCGCCAGCGCTCACAGAGCTCTTTCAGCACTGCAATGCGCTTTCTCGGGGTGTTGACTGATGCATCAAAGCTGACACGGTGCCCGGCCTGGGGTTCTGGAATGACCCACGTCCCAGGTTTCTCCTTTCGAAGGAGATTTACTACGTCGAGCCTCAAGAGCCCAACAGCAGGACTTCCTAGAGACTGTGATAGTGTCCACGGGACAAAAGAGTCTGTATCGGAAGGCCTTTGAAAGACATCAATAGAGCCATAGTTAGGTGGTAGGCGAAAATTGTCGCATATCTTGACAAGCTCGAGATAAGAAAGTGGTGAGGATACGGGAGATGGGGGGTCGTTAGACATTTCAAACTTGAGAATTACTGACTTGCTGCGACGTCTACTGTTTAGCTCGAAGTCAGTAGCCGGCACAAGAGAATAGACAATGTTAAAGTCTGGTATTCTGGGTTGTAAAAACGCTGCCCTAGGTATATAACAATAGCCTGTATTTGACTGATTCTAAAGAACGTAGAGATAACGAAGGTCTCGGGTAAAGTAGGGATAGAGTAGTCGGCCGATAACGAGTGTGCACAGTGCAGTGCGCCTGACTCATCGGGCGGTTGGGCGTCAGAGCGGAAATCATCCGCATGGCCGGTGTCCCTAGCTCAAGCGCTCAGCGTTCAACTCCGGCTTATCTTTATATCTCCAAGCTCCGGGCAGTGAAATATATTGTTCTAGTAGTTTAAGTGTAAAATCGACGGCCCGTAAGCTAATAAAATTCTTGATAAATCTCTTAGCAAAAACTCCCTATTCCATCCTGGCCTTAGGCTTTGTAATAAGACCCAAGAGAATATACAAAGTTCCAGGTTTCCAAGGCATAATTACTGTGAAAAGGGGGGAAATGCAATATGTACGGCGCCCAACAAGATGAAAGGGGAAGAACAAGTATAGAATTAGGGTCCATCTACTATTTGTATAGCATTCACCTTCGACGAAGCAGGTCGTGGACCTTGAGTCGCTGGCGAGTATGAAATGAGGGGGGAAGCCGTTCTGCTTCCCCCACCAAATAACGATGCGACACTATTCATACCACCCTCCATCTCTCTAGGCGGTGCTCCGGGACCCGCGAGACGAGGAGAAAACCCAGATGCTGGACCAATAGGCGGCATACCAAGCTTTGACGAAGACATCGGAGGTGGAGACAGTGGTCGCCTGGACTTCATCACTGGGCTACTAGCCGTAGACGCATGAGGCTCAAAGCGTGACGGCGAACGCAACCCAGGGTGTGGTATTGACGACGGACTGGGAGGGAGGGGTCGGGCGCGAGGTGGGGAAACTCCTGATGAATTTTGGCGGGATAGGGCAGATTGTGGATGTGGAGGGTGACTCGACGAAGGTCCTGCGTACCGATGAGGTCCAGGGGAATGGTAGCGGTCTGGTGGAGCTTGGAATGGGGGTGGGCGCTCCCGGTCATCCTGATGCATCCAGCCATGCCTTGGCGATGGCGCAGGACCGCTTGGCAATCCAGGACCCGAAGTCGAGCCTGCAATACTATTATGCGACGGCGCCAATACAAATGGCGTCGCAACAGGTCGGTCACGTTCTTCATATGGTGGATGAGTGGATGACGGACGACTCCCATGTTTATTCCAGTGCTGCTGCTTATGATTAACTATTTCTGGCTGCGATTGCGATTGCGGCTGCGGCTCGGGCGGGTGGTGGTGATGCACCACGTGGTGGTGGTGACGGTGATGGTGGTGACCACCAACATGATGATGTGGTGGGGCATGCGTATGGTGCGGGTGCCGATGGTGGTGTTCACGATCCAGTTCTTCCTCACGGCGTCGTCCTTCTGCTCCTATGTTCCAATCCATCCCACCCGCTGGCTTGGGCATTGCAAATCGCGTTGTATCATGTGCCACATTCAAGAATTGTTGTTCTGAGTGAGGAGGAGGCGGTGGCGGCGGCATTCCTGGGCCGTATGCGGGAGGAGGAAGGCTATCATACTGTGCTGGGGCAGGTCCAGAAGGCAATCGCTGTAGGCGTCCTGGTGCACCCAATGGGTACCCCTGGCTGGGTTGTTGAAATACAGATGGCGGGGGCGGAGGTGGCATGCGCACGTCTGGGCCACCATGAAATGCTAGAGCATCCATGGAAGGCGCGCCATACATTGGGCCCATGACCATGCGCGCATTCATCATACGGTGCTGATGCAGGAAATCGAGGTCTGCAGCCGCATCTGCTTGAGGGAGGGCGTTCAAGTCGGGGTATGCAGTCGCAAGCATGTGGCGTCGGGAAGTTGTGAGAGGCAATATCTGTGCAATTTGACGAATAGTAGGTGCGGGAGGCGGATCAGGGATTGCGTTAGGAATACGGCGCACTGCGAACAGAACATTCATGAACCATACAGGCACAAGCAAGAGAAAATAATCCTACGAGGTTGAGGTCTCTCGATAGCTCTGCGCTCGCGCTCCAACTTACGGCGTTTACGGTTGGTCTCAGCAATCATCTCTGTTTGCAGGTCATCTCGCGCGACCTAAGTCGAGTCATCAAATAGTGAGTAGCGGGTATGAACAGGACGCGCATCAAACGCACCTTCCACCAACTCCAGACCGCGTCTTCGTTTGTCCTCCGCCGTTTGTTGGCGGATACAACCTCATACACGCGCTTTCTGCAAGCAAGAGCAAGACGTTTGTCGCGACGTTTGTTCAGTTCGGCTTGCAGATGTATAAGCTCTGGGTGTGCTCCTAAAGCAGATCTTCAGCATGGACAAGTTTGAAACGGGTAGACATACACACCCTCGGAAACCAATGCCTCCTCCCACGCGAGTCCCTCCATTTTCTCGACATACACCTTCTCCCTCAATAGTGCAAATTTCAGCTCGATAGTCGCAAGCACATCCAGAGCTTCGGCACGGTGAGCGGGCTGCAATTCCAACTCCATTTCCATGTCTAATTCATCATCCACCTCTGCTTCAAGGAGAGCGGACTCAGCGTCTGGAGCTGTTAGTGTCGCGGTGTCGCAGTCTTCATCCTTGTCCTTCTTGCCTCGTTTGCTCTTACGGTGTGGTCTGCCGTTCTCAGGTTTGGGCGACGGAGAACGCGAAGAGGAGGGTGAGCGGGACCCAGACACAGAAGATGCAGACGGTGTGGGAGATGGCGGGTGAATGACTGTTGAACCTGCCATGATTGAGTGTGAGGCAGCGGCAGCTGCGATGGGCGCGACGGACGCTGGCAGTGGAGCTGTAATGTCAATGGGAATCAATGGAACAGTTGTGACTGCCTTGACCGGTGCTGAGGGTGGCTCTGCCTCGTTATCCATGTCTACGTCCAAGCCCGCATCTGGAGGCCTGTCATTGTCCTCAGATTCGGTGTCGTTTTCGTGGTCGTTGAGGGCGGGAGGATCGTCATCATCATCTCCATCGGCTTCTCCTTCAAGTAATCCATTTGAGAGGGCAAGGAGGCTACGACGCTTTGGAGGAGAAGTTGTAAGGTCATCGAGGCGACGGCGCTTTGGAGGGACAAGTGCCAGTTCATCTTCGTCAGAGGCATAGGGCTCTGGTTCTTCGTCCACTGCCGAATTAGAAGTGGAATTTTGCGGATCAGCAGCACCGCTCTCATCGTCATAATCTTTTGCACGTCCATTGACAAGTACGCCGACATCGTCAAGAGGCTCATCAGCGTCGGCATCCCCGTCGGGGCTGTCGCCGTCGAGGTCGTCCCTCGGGTCATCCTCATTCTCGTCATCCTCTTCCTCCTCCATAGCTCGAGGCGGGCCAGCCATCTCTTCTTCTTCCTCTTCCTCAACGCCGGGTGTAGCACTTCCTTCACTCTTTGAATTTGAATTTGAGTTCAAGTTCTTCGATTTGTATGCCCAGTCCCACATCGGGGCAGGGACCAGGCCGCCACGCTTTTTTCTTCCTCCGCGACGGGGCTGCCGACGACGTGAACCATCTTCAGCATCTCCGTCAATGAATGTCTTAGTCTTCTTTTTGGGCGACTGAGACTCCTGGACGAGCTCATCGTCTGTAAGCTCTGATAGCTCGGACTCGGCATCCAAGCCGGCGCCCGAATCTTCTTGGGGCGGTGGTGATGGAGAGGGCGAGCTCAATGATTCAAGTGAGGCTGGAGAGCCCGTCATCGTGGGCGACAGCAAGCAAGGATGATGGCAAGAACGACCAAGACAAATACGAAGACGACCACTAGTCAAAGATGATCGTCCCAAAACGGAAGTTTAATTGGACCGTGCGCAATCTCATCCACACGTGTCGTGTCTCACGTGATATGTAATAGCGGAACTAGTTGTTAGCTATTTCAGGCAGTCGACTCGTTTTGGACCACTGCAGAGAGGTGGCTATAATTTGAACAATAATATTTACAGCAAACACAGTTCCGAATACAAGATGATCATAATCCAACAAAACTTGAAACACAACTCTAAAAGTCTCCAAGATCGACCTCTATCATTTCGATGACAGACACTTCCAGGCTCTTGTCCTTCTTCGTGCCTGTTCGCGGGTCAGACAATGCTAAAGGTGGGAGCGGCGATATTGATCGTCCACCAGCTGCACCATGGGCCTGTAGTGCAGGCGTACCCGTCCCATTTATATTCGGCGTACCCGATCTGTATGATATTCCATTTGGATTTGAAGTTGATGGCCAGAGAAACGAGGCATGATGCAATCAGGGGCAAGACAGATGACCAAGTGACATCAACCATAATAGTGAGAGTACAAACCTTGATATTATATCGTTGAACAACCTCGGAACAGTTTTTAATCTCGCACTTGGGTCCGCTGGGGTCGCGGTGCCCGAGGCATTCATCTTGCGTTCCCTTCGTTTACGTTCGGCCTCCAACATTTCAGCCTTGCGTACTGCTTCTAAATTGGCCTTGCGATTACGCTGATTCACTTTCGCGAGTTTGTCATTGAGTGACTCTTCACCTCCATTCCGAGCAGGAGTGGCTACTGCGGGTAGCATTGCCAACTTGGCATCAATTTCAGCAACTTCGGCATAGTCCTGTCGCCGGATTGCAAGTGTCCTGGCCTGCACTAGTGACGAGCGCTGCAATGTGAGGGAGGCACCAGATGGCAAATTCGATAGTTGGCTTTTTCGTGCCAACATAGCGGTGATGTCACTCTAAGCCCAGTTCAGCAGTGACAACCTTGAAAAGGTAATGGAAAAGTTCATACTTCTGTCACAGGCTGTGTGATCAGCTTGGACATCTGCGCAACCTTTTTCTCAAGAGTGCGCTTGGATGGTAACTTGACGTCATCTGCAAAACACACTTTCCCTAGACGTTCGAATTCTCGCTAGATCACGATAGAGTGAATGCAAACCCCGGTGGCAGCAGGAAACAAACCTGTGTGAACGGGGCATTTGACACCTTGTCCATATGGAACGCCTTGAGCGACTTGCCATGCTTCAGCTCAAGCGTCTGGTTCACCGTAATATCGTTAATCTTATATGGCTTCGTGAGATTTACTCCCAAGTCTGGCTCAAATAAGACAAAACATTCACGCTCTAATTTCTGACACTCACTTTGTATCTCACAAATCCTATACTGTGGCTGATCTTTCTCATCCTGGCCCACAAGATAGCGAACCCAGCCACCTTCGGTCTTGAGCACGCAACATATTATAGACTACCATAGCACTCACCCTTCACATAATCCTCGAACCAAGGAGCCATGCAATATTTCGCAAGTTGGTCCCGCGTTAATCTGCATCCCATGAGGTCCTCTAGTGACGAAGGCTCATCCGCAGGATCAGGCTGCTTTGAAAATAGCTTCCTGTCCTTCTCTTCTTCTTCTTCGTAGCGCGTTATTTGACCATCCTCTTCCTCGCCTGAAGACATGTCCATGTCATTCGGTGAGGAGGACCGGTCTCGCTTAGGAGAGTGTGTCTTAGTCTACTTGGAATATAAGAGACGTGAGTATACTGATGATCAGCACACGCACACGCTTCTTCTCGTCCTTTGCTTTTCGCCTAGCCTTGAGTTCGTCAAGTGTGCGAGACTTCTCTTTTGTGGCGCCTCGGGAAGTACGTGGGCCTGCAAAACAATAGTATCAGATGGCGCCTGCACTATAAAGCACTCTGAGTACGTTTTGCGGCTTTCGAAATGCTCTCAGGATCTCCAGATTGTGCTTGAAGCATCTCATGCAGCTTTCGCTTGTCTTGTATTCGCATCAACTCCTCTTGCCGTCCAGCAAGAATTTCTTCTCTTTCAATCTCAGGCATAGAAAGTAGCCTAATACGCAGCAATAGATTGATAGAGGACAGTGTCAAAACTACACTTGCACTTGTGTTCGAGATGCACTCACCGCTCCCTATCCGACTCATCTATGTACTTGCCCTCAAGCGGAAACTTTACCTCTGATTCCTCTTCACTCTCCGGCCCATCCTCTGCGTCACTGTCATCTGAGACTCTGTGGTTCCCCGAGATTTGTGATGAGCACAGCGGTGAGCCGGATCAAGGAGAAGGCTCACTCCGTTCTGCGCTTCTTGACTGTGGAAGACTTGGAGCTTGATGCTTGGTGTTTGCGCTTTTTCTCAGTGGCGCCAGCAAGTTCAAGGAGCTCATCATCGAAGTCACCTTCAAAGTCGGACATGGTGGAAAAAGTGAGGAAGCAAAAGTGCTGTACGAAAGCCGTTCGACTGTGTTGCTGTGTATTTACGAAGACCCCCTAAGAGAGGGGTCTGTGAGAGTGTGGGAATAGCATTCCTTGTTTGGAAGAAATTGCACTGTACCTCGTCAGTACTGTGCCTTGTGGCTTGGACGTTCGTCATCTCCTCCAAATCTCATCTAGACTGTCGGCGCCCGACTAACATCAATTCTGATAGTCTAGCTGAGCCACCAGATAAATAGGCATTAGTCTTTTTGTGATTCAAGTCGAGGCAGTAAATATTTGTGACTTCCTCCTTCACGAGCTTCCCAGTCAATGGCATACTTTTTCGCATCCCCCGTTGACGTCGACATCAAATTGGAAGGAGAGGAACTGCGGAAGCAGGTGGATATAAAGACTGACAAGGACCGCACAGCTTCATGTCCAGTTTACTATGACGGTGACTCAGTAGCAGGGCAGGTATGTATTGCATCTTAGCTGGATTATTACGTCGGAGATGCTCACCGCTGCAGGTGACCATTCGCGTTCGCGATGGAAAGCGAATGACTCATGAGGGCATCAAGGTTGAGTTCGTTGGCAGCATCGGTGGGCTTTCACATATCTGTCATAGTTCCTCAATATCTTATTGTCGTCCGACTCCAGAGTTGTTCTATGATCGGGGGCACCATCACGAATTTTTATCATTGTCTCAAGAATTGGCATCGCCTGGGGACCTGCGTCAAGCTCAGACTTTCGACTTCCTCTTCAAGAATGTCGAGAAGCAATTCGAGAGTTACCAGGGCATTAATGTCAAGCTACGGTATGGTGTTTCTCGCGCCATGCAGATGTCAATTGACCTTTTCTTAAGCTACTTTATACGAGTATCTGTTGCAAGACGAATGGCGGATGTTGCGAAGGAGAGAGACATCTGGGTACACTCATATCGCATGCCTCCAGATAGTAACAATTCCATCAAGATGGAAGTCGGCATTGAGGATTGTTTGCACATTGAATTCGAATACAACAAGTCAAAGTGTGTTAGAATCTATTATACAACCGGCCAGAGTGCTGACCGTGCGTCAGGTATCACCTGAAGGACGTGATTGTTGGCAAGATATATTTTCTGCTTGTTCGTATTAAAATCAAGCACATGGAGCTTTCTATAATACGACGCGAAACAACCGGCTCGCCACCAAATCAGTACAACGAGAGTGAAACAATCACAAAGTTCGAAATCATGGATGGCGCTCCTGTCAGAGGTGGGCCCGAACATACAGTTTTCTACGCTCATTTCTCACTGACTTTTAGGAGAAACAATCCCTATTCGACTATTCCTCGGTGGCTTTGACCTGACACCAACGTTTCGCGAAGTGAACAAGAAATTTAGCACACGGTACTACCTGAATCTCGTGCTTATTGATGAGGAGAATCGGCGGTACTTCAAACAACAGGTATGCTGTGTGGTTTTCTATTGACTTATATTTACCTGACCTTGATAAACAGGAAATAACGATATTTAGGATACCAGAGGTACGTTGCGAAACTTTGTCGTGTTTCACAAGCTGATTATCTCGAACAGAACTAGCTAGTACTGCGCTGCATGATTCTTGTCCTAGCACTCTCGTCTGATGATGCTGGCTTCTGCCTTTACCCATTCTACCCATAACAGCCCTTTCGATCAATACAGGGATGAGTCATTGTTACGGAGGGGTAAAACAATAGTAATACAGCAAAACTATTCGATTCTGAAGGTAGTTTATTTATTTTTATTTTTTGAGTTTAATCATTGTCCTGTTGCGGTGCGGAACGCAGTCACCAAAGAAGAAGTCGCCGCCTGATCAGATACTGTCTTCGCTCCTTGACTATCTCCTCTCTTCAGCTTTGCCTTAAATTTTATACACCTACTTCCCCGTTCAGTTTCCGCAAAGCTTTTTCTCGGTTGAACGCTGCCTGGATCTCGAACTCGTGTATGACAGCATCCGCGGACGTAATACGCTCCTGATCAATGTTAATCTGCGGCCCACCGTCATGCAATGTTTCTGCGCCCGACGGGGAAATCAAATCGTCAGGATCGGCAGAAGCACGGCGTGGACTGATTACTGGTCCACCACCATACATCCTGATACTCGCAAGCGATTGGGAACGTGCAATGGTCGACCACTGTGAAGAATGCGTGGTGACATCACTGTGGCCTTTGCTCGCACGCTCGGGCAAGTGAAGGGATGATAGATGTCTGTGGCGGTATTTCAGTGAGTCCCAGCTCTCGCCTTCCAGTTGAGCAGTTGGGGTGATTCCTGCCCGTGTAGGTGTTACGGGAAGCTGGACTGGATAATTGCCGCCGTGTTGTGATGCGAATCTTGTACACGGTGACACGGGTCCTCCCGCGCGCGCATGCGCGGACTGCGGAATGGATATAAGCGAAAGCATGGGTTTCTGTTTCATGAACTCGTTGGCATAGAACAACGCATATTCAGCAGCTGCGTTCTGTTCGTCATATGACTGTGCAGCATTACGACACGTGCTCTGCTGGCCGAGGACTGGAGGCTCGAATTTGTCATCCTCGTGTCCTTCACTGAGCATGGACCTGGGGTACTTGCCAGTAACACCGGGGGGCAAGTCGGGGCTCAGCTCAAGGACAACGCTCATATCGTCGAAGATGGTCTGCGCAGACTGGCGCCGAGTGTTGCTCTTTGAGAGGCTAGCACCAGTGCGGGATGCAAGCACTTCTGTAGACGTGTTCTGGCCAGATTGTCTCCGCGATTCATCTGCATGGATAGCCTGTTCTGGAGGAGGGAGTGCAGAAAGGCGTACGTGCAAGACCGCCGGCTCGCCAACTTCATCGTGCATTATTACATCTCGATCTGCCTTGCCCTTTTCCATATCCTTTTCAATTGGGGAGGACTCGTGATGCAGGTCTGAGGACTGTGAGGACCGTATGGTCATGCGTCGATTGACTATGAGCGAGTGGGAGGTCGATGGGGGCTTGCCACGACGCCACAAGACCAGCTCCTTGTTAAGGAACTCAAAGTTTTCATTTTCGTCCATTCTGTGCATTGAGTATTAGCGAATTGAGCAAACGTGGTGCCAAGGGGACCCACCCCTTCAAACTGCCAATAATTATGCAAACCCTGGCAATCAGTCGTAGGATTCTTCTGGAAAGCGGAACAGCAAAGCCGCCCGCCACAAATCCAACGATGCCTTCAACAGCTCCTAGCTTGATGCCGAAAGTAATCCACCCAGTGCCGTTGAAAAAATGGCGTTCGTCGGTATGATTATTGTCGATGCGCTGTTGATCCAAAAGAGCGGTAAAGAGCCGATACAACGCGAGGAAGGCTGCTAGACATTGATAGTTTGTATACAGTGCGAGTGACAGCTGGCCGAGATCCAGCCACAGCAATTCGCTCTTATTTGTGAAGTCGATCGTGAGCGGGACCTGCGGGAAAGATAAATTCTCTGACGACACATCAGTCAAGAACAACACAAATGAATCAAATCTCTCACGGATAGACATTCCGAGCGATGCCGCGAAAGTCGACACTGCAACCACAGGAATAAGACCAGTGAATAGATATTTAGCTCCAGGTTGGAAGCGGCGAGGGAGGTAGGGGATGAATTCCCTACGACTCAGCCAGACTAGATACGAGGTGTATAATAGCATAGGAACGAAAGAGACAGATCCTGTAGCATTGGAAGAGTGGGTGTATATCTCAGCGCTCAGGCTGTCTGGTGTACATGGTCACATACCAAGGAATAGTTCGGCCACTCTGGAAGCGGTAACTGAATTCCGCACAGCGGGTATTACATGCGATAAAAGGTCGACCAGCGCCAAGATAAAATACAAAACACCGTCTGCGGCCAGCAATAGGTGCGCCCTACATGTGAAGTCATTAGCCGATCAACGTGACAGATGATGATGGATACTAGGGGCACCGTCGCAAGGAACGGCGCAGAAACGTTGAGCTTAATGCCCAAGCTTTTGCAGCCGAAATTAAATCTGACGCACCTGCTCGATCTCCGGGTCATATAAATCAAAAACACGCAGAAAAAGAGCTCGATAACAGGGGGTACGGTAAGAGCGTGAATTTCCAAGAGGTTCAGAGGAACGCAGCGAAGATTTTCTGCAGGAAGCAGACAACCTACAGAGCAAGATGGTGAACTCATGTCAACGAACAGCTGCTCAAGAGTTCTAAGAACTATAAGATTGTGGCGAGTGAGTAAGGATCGTGGACAGAAGCCAACAAATGACGGCTGGAGGAGAATGAGAGTAGTAATATCAATGCAGTACTTGCTGCGACTGTGGAGGCTTAGCCTATATATCTGCCTAGATGATTTGGGGATACAAGAGTTATATACTTATCGTTGGACGATAGATATGATCTTCCATTATGATCTGAGATCGCAGCGACGAGTTGCCAACTGACTAATTGCAACCAGATATTGGATTTCCACGTGGCAGATGTGATTGGCGCTGATTACCTTATTTGTCGTACTTTCACGAGATCGATAGGTGCGAGACACTAGACCCGATATCCACCACCGGGACCCCCTCAGCCCATCAATACCTTGGGTACCAGTCCTCGTGTGATAGGTTGGTGACATATTTCGAAGAGAGCCCCCGGCCACGTGCACATATGTATAACTCACAGAATATCCGCCGTACCGGCGACTATATGTGTTTAGCACCTGGGAAACGGAGTCAAATACAAACGCCGCTGGCGCTTTCCGAGCCAAGAGCCTGGTCCCGCCAGCGAATATTTGACACTCTTAAGGCATGCTCAATTCTCAAGTTGTCACGGTCAAGAGTTGTCAACTCTTTGTTTGTACCATTACGCGATTGTAATTTCGGTTCCCAGAAAGGGTTAGAACCCAGTATGCATCCGGGATGACCGATGACGGACACCAACGGACTTCAATATTTGAAGTTTTGAATGTCGTTGTAGACACTTTGCTGTAGTCTGTTGACCAGTGATCACGATTGTTTGATAAGGCGGAGTAAGCGCGGTAGCTGCGGTGCCCAAATGGAGCCTCACCCGGTCGGCTAAATTGTTTGGCTCTAAGGCACGGTGGGACTTGACTACTCTTGACCTGACAACTTAAGAATTGAGCACGCCTTCAGTAGCATCCGCCGAGTCGCAGCTTCGCTTACCACCCCACATGCGCGTGTACCAAATTTTGCTTGCACTTGCTTCCCGGTCCTCCTCAGGTCGTGCGAGAAAGAGATGATACAATTGCGGAATGCGGAAAATACTTACTGAGACGGACCAGCGGCGAGCGCTAGACAACATCAGTAGTGGATGAATTTGTCTATCCCTCTCTGAATTCAAGTAAGCCCTACATTCCAAGATATGCAACTCACCGCCGTATCAAATTTTTCTCTTATCTCCGACCTCCGCACTGTCGAAATTACAATGTCGCCGCGCCATTCGAACACTGTTTGGGAGAGAAGAGGAGAAAAGCATAACAGCAAACGTAGTGACAAACATCTGTTATTGTAATCCATGGTAAACGTCCGAAGGCGAACGGATTGCTTGTTAGATACATGCAAGTTATGAATGTACTTAGTGTGCGACATCGACTGAACCGCAACAGAATTGTACCAGCTCTTCATCTTCTCTACAAGTTGTGCCTGCATACGGCTGAACTGGCGGCTGGTGACTAGCGTTCCAACAAAGACTATTTGTGACATAGAGACAATGACGGGCCAGTCACTGCAAGGGTACGAGGGCAAAAGGAATTGCAGGTGCGAACAATGTGCTGTCACATCGAGACCTTGTACTGCCTCACATATAGTCAAAGGGTGATCCCGAATGAACGCAGCTCACCAGCACCATTCGGAGAATGAATTGATCGTAGGTTGCACTTGGTGGAAGTCTCCGACTCCAAAACAAAGCAACCGAAGAACATAGATTGTATCGGCGAGGCCCAAAAGTTGATCCGTTCTAGCGCGATGGAGGGAAGCAACTGACCCGTAGCTTCTCAGTCACCTGTTTCTTCAAATCTTGCCCTTTGGGTCTCGTACGGAGATCAGCGCTTGGTAGCAATTGCACGCGACACAATTGAACTGGTAGGTCTTAAGGGAAGATAGTCTTTCCTTCTTGATGAAAACGCCGTGGAAATATGCAATATGCAACATAGCGGTAACCTGGACACTCTTGGACACCTACAAATTCTCGAGCTTGGCGGTAACAATAAGTCGACGCAGCTTTTTGGACAGAGACGTGGTACTCCCTTGGTACTCCAAAGAATTCGAAGTCATCTGGTGTACGGGAAAATTCAATTCCTGTAAATTGTAATTGGGCAGCGAAACAAAACATTAAAGTTTGACAGTACCACATCTGTTTCCCCCGTCAGAGCCCCACCATGATCAACATGATCCCGAGTCCTGATAGCCATCACAAATCGCCATCATATGATCAGTAGAATGAAGCCTGACGGCCATTTAAAACAGCTCCAACGGTGGGTGAGTGTTAAATTTTAATTCATGGAAAGCCATCGACAGTGGACACGAACAGATACGTTCACTTACTTAAGTGCTATTACTAGCACTGCCATCCAACACCACTTCTGCCGCTCAACAGAAATGAGCACGTTTAGAGATGCAAGGTGGTGGAGACACGAAAGAGGCTGGCGGCAAAGGCGGACCAAAATTCGGCAGGTGACTTGGAAAAAATTTAAATGTTCAAATGATGCTATATGCCGCATCGTGGGATGGCGGATGAGCATGACAGATGGGGTGTAAATCCCCTGGAGGGACATTATAGACTTGTGACAGACGCCGTCTGCTGTTCGCCGCGCGCAACAGCAGATAAGCATAATTAGGTCAATGACAGAAATGTTCAAGCGAACGCACACCCAATATTGGACGTACTCCACAATCGTAAACGGAACAATGCGATTTATGTAACGCTGTATGTCGACGTCGGACTGTACTATGTACCAAGGTAGCTAGCCTGTCGACAGACGTCAAAAAAACGACCAGGAGGCACTTGAACCCGTACCACGACCACGGAGGGGTTTTTTCCCACGCTATATGCGGGCAGGTTGAGCGACTCTCGCTCACAGCAACCCACTGGCCTCAAATATACAAACCTTCCATATGAAAAAGACCTCTTGAACAGACTAAGAATCACCCATGTATATGCACCTGATCCCACCCCCAAAACCAATGAACATCAAAAACCCAAAAGCCCCCACCCCAACTCAACATCAACAAAAAATGTCGACACCCAACACCTCTTCCAACTAAAAACAAGACAAAAATGATAAAAACAACCACAAAACATGTATGACCATAACTCCCAACACCATATATCCCTTGTGAAATGAATCACACCTGAAAAAAAAAAACCATCAGAGATATCAAGTGACACCTAGGTGAACACCCGAAAATACCCCATCAGACTGCATGTAAATTAACGCATGTAAAAATGACTAACATTCATACTGACAAAACTAAACAACCACCAGAATACGTGTACATACCCACTAACCCAACAAGTGAGACAAGCAACACCATGCCCCCTCCCCCAACCCATAACCAAAGCAATGCCCGAACCCCTAACACCTCACTGACCTCCCCACAACCACATTATTCACAAAAACTAACCATATAGGAAGACATGCCTCATGGTCCCTGACTAAAACAACACAACCATGCAATACTATGTGAGATAACACTATCCCCATACTGGAAACTAAATGAGGTATATAAACCTCACTGAATCAACACAAATCCCCAACCTCACTGCAGGACATGAAGGACCTCTCAAGCATTAAAACTGCCAACATCAACACTCATCCATCTCCAATGGGAACACGCCAACCCCTCCCCAGACCTCCCCACACAGGTTCACAATTCTTCCCACCCAACATCTTACAAGACAAAGGGGACGGTGCAGATGACAACACCTCTACCCCCACCACCCCCTCACCTAAACCTCATACCACTGTCTCCCAATTGCCCCCCTCCGAATCTGAAGAGAATGCAACTACTCTAACACTCAACTCTCTCATCTTCACAAAGGACACAACAGTTGAGATGCCCCTTGACACCCTCCACTCATCACCTGCACAGACTCCTGCACCCACAGATGATGACGAAATGACAGACCTGATCATTTCCAGCCCACTCCCTACCAAACCTGCTGTATCTACACAGGACTCGGAAGAAGATCTACTCCGAGCTCACCTGGCTGTCACTGAAACTAATCAGTCCATCATTAAGTCTAACAGCACCAACTCCCTCACTGTCATTCCCCAGTTCACCCCCATCCCAATTGGTGGCTTCCCACACATCCACCTCACCCATGCAGCCCAACTCTTCAACTACCAAGCAGCCAAGGTCATCACGGCCTGGCTCAAAGTCCCTCACCCAAAAATCTTGGTGAGAGTCTTTGACCATGACAGGAAGAACCCCTCTGTCAAAGGTCCCATTCTTGTAGAACAACTGTGAAAAGCCATCTCGGACATTGCCCACTTCATCCATCAAGACAACCAGGATGTGAAGGTGTTACTGCCCTACCCTGATGCCAGCAAAGAAGATGCAGACTTCCCCCTCAGCTTCCTAGTATACAACATCTCTGATGAAACCAAGTCACTCATCCTTAACCAGCACATTTGGTCCTCACCTGAAATCTCTTTCGCTGCACATCTCTTCAGAGTGAACTCTCCCCCCCTACTCCTCTTCTGCCTGCACAGTTTCTCCACCATGGATACTGCTACAGTCAAGACCACTGTCCATGAAGTCTGGTCGGAAGATGTTACCAGATGGGACATCTGCAACATCATGTCCGAAAGTGACATCCCTGAAGAATGCATCCATGCTGCCACATGGGACTTCATCAACTCCCTATGGGTAGAGCACCTTGATTTTAAGGTTAGTGGAGGCATCCTTCTCCTGTGCTACAATGTTTTCACAGTTAGCCCCACCAATAACCCCACAGTATGGACGAAACTCAGAGCATATCTCCACTCTCTCACCTATCCCTCCGAACTCGAGGGAAGTGGTACAGCAGTCAACTTTATGCCATGCACCCTCCGCCACTCAATTGCCCACCCCCACAGGCTCTGCCCATTCCCAAATGTTCCACTCTGGAATGGGCCCAAGCATAGTACCAACTCAAGACCCAACTTAATGAACCAGAAAGGGAAAGGCAAAGGAAGGAGGTACCCAGGCAATGGTCTCCCTAACTAGCTTCTGCACATACTTACTTCCACAATACCCAATGTATCATAGTCTATGTACCCCGCATCCTGTAGTACCTGTACCTGAATAAACCCCCCTCCCCAGAACATCTTACTCCTGCAACGTGCACCCATTCCTGACAATGGCAACAACTCGCAAACTTCACTCCCAGCCCTCAGCCCAAATTTACTGATTGCAGTAGCAAGGTAGGAAAGCCAAGGGTGCCCTGACGGCACAAGCCAAAAATGGAGGCCTATTTAGGCCAAGGATTAGCCGTGCTGAGGAGCTCAAGTGACTGCAAAAAGACTTAGTGAGTACAGGACTCACCTTGTTTAAGTAGCACAAACATCTATCCACTGTGACTGCCCAGGATATGACAGTCCTTGTCTCCTTAACAGTCGTACAGAAGATGCAGTAAATCGACTACTCAGCAATCTCAAAACATAAATTCACTCTTCAGTTCATTTCCCAGCCTTGGTTCAAGCCTCCTGAGCAGTGGAGGGGGAAGCCCTCAAACTGCCGGGACCATCCCAGATGACACTACACAGGAGAATGGAGGTGGACTCCCCCACTCTCAAATGCCACACCAGGCAACATTACAACAAGACACCCCTCGCATGTCACCAAACAAAAAGCAAACAAGAGCTAACATTCTACTAGCTACCCTAAACATGAAGGGCCACACTTCTACACTACTAGGAAACAATAACAAGATATCAAAATGGTCACCTCTCCACCACATTGTGACAGTCAAGTTTTCCTTGGGCTTAGATTTACTTACTTTACTTACCTTTACCTACCCTCACTTTCTTTAGCTTATGTTCGCATTTTTGCTGCTTACTTAAGCATGTATCTCTTTCACTAGTGTCAGTACCAGCCTGAATGACAGTCCCTTTTGATAATAATTTCTACTCTCTGAGCACTGAGCCAAGTCAGAATCCCATGGGCTGAACATACTGCTCTCCACTCAGCAGCTTGGCCAGCTGAAATATGATTCCCACAACATCATGAGAGAGAGAAAAATTGGAATCTTATGCATCCAAGAAACCCACCTGCTACCTGAACATGAGGTGCAGATTGAATCATTGTACTCAAAAAGAATAAAAGTATTGAACTCACGAGACCCTTTCCATCCAGGCAACTCTGCAGGAATTGCCTTTGTTATCAACAAAGAAATACTCAACATAGATAACCTAGAAACATACGAGATCATACCAGGAAGAGCCTCAGTACTAAGAATAAGGTGGCATAATGAAATGTACCTGACAATAGCCAACATCTATGCCACAAATAACCATGCACAACACCCTGATTTCTGGAACACAATAATAAGACTGTGGCAAGAAAGAAACATACCAAAACCCGACTTCCTTATGGGAGATTTCAACATAACAGAAGACGCCATAGACTGCACCCCTGCCTGCCTTGACAATGAGCAGGCAATTGAGGCACTCCGAAACTTAAGATTCCAACTGAATATACAAGACTCCTGGCAAATTAACAATCCAACAATGAGAGAATTCATGTTCTATAGCAATAACAACTCACATTCGTGCCTCAACCACATCTACTCAGCACCAGCCCATGAACTAAGTATCTATGGATGGGAATCGAGCACATCAGCAATACCAACAGATCACTGAATGATCCTGGTGAGATACACACCAATGAATACCCCATTCATGAGGAAAGGCTGATGGTCATGGCCAATCAGCCTACTAAACGATGCAAAGCTATTAACAAAGATTAGCAACATAGGAAAACAAACACAACAAGAAATCACCAACCTACAGCAACACTGGTCAGAGTCAGAGAACCTGCAATGAAGTTGGGAAGACTTCAAGTTGAGAATAAGACAGCACAAAAATCACTGCAAAAGAACATTTATACAAAATAAGACAATGAGTGAGACAACTTGAAGATGACCTACACAAAACAACAGAGAACAACAACCTAGACACAAATGAATCAACACACCAACAAAAAGCATGGATTGAGAGTGAAATCATGCACCTTGAGAACAAAGGTTCAAAAACAAACAACAACAAGGCCAGGCAAAGTGGGCAGCCAAGGGCGAAACAATAAGTAAATATTGGTCTAAATTAAACAGCAGTAAGAAGCCACATGACATCATACACAGACTAAGAATACCTAATCAAAACCATCTGGCCTCAAGATCTGACCACATGGCAGAAATTGCCCATGACTATCACAAAAATCTGCAAAAAGATAACATGTCAAAACAAGACGAAGTCATAAGATTAATAGAAATAAGAAACACACTAAGTGAAATACCCCAGATGCAGACACTACAAAATGAGAATTCACCACTGCACAACCCGCTGAAAGAGAATCACATCCTCGAAGCACTATATGCCTCAAAGGCAGGCAGTGCAGCTGGCATTGACGGGATACCTTACAAAGTCTGGAAAAGCCTACATGAGAAACATGTAGACAATCAGAAAAATGATGTCCCAAGCCTTGATATAATAAAAACTCTTACCATAGTAATCAATGATATACAAAAACATGGAGTGGATGACCAGATGGACTTCTTGCTGGGCTGGATGTGCCTGATTTACAAGAAAAAGGACAGGACTGAGATAGCAAACTATCGCCTGATCACCCTACTGAACACTGATTATAAAATTCTAATGAAAGTGCTGGCAATGCAGCTAGCAAAAGAAATACACTCACTGATCCATCCAGACCAGAGTGGCTTCATACCATGAAGGTCCATCTTTGACCCCATCTGCTTAGTGCAACTCATGATAGACTACGCAGACATCACTGAGGAAAACGGAGTCCTGATTGCACTAGATCAGGAGAAGGTGTATGACAGAATAAAACATGACTACTTACTAGCATCACTTGAATCCTTCAACCTCCTGCAAACCTTCATCAAAACAGTCAAAGCGCTGTACTCCAACACATACACAAAGGTCACCATAAATGGCATCATGAGTACACCCTTCAAAGTCACGAGAGGAGTGCGACAAGGCAACCCCCTCTTGTGCCTCCTCTTCAACCTCGCTATAGAACCCTGTTACAGTAACGTGCACCCCTATTCATTTTCCTCATCTTACCTTGTATTACATCATGACTGCACGATGCTGCACCATCACTAGACTCATTTTCTTTCTATATTTGTATTACATCACAATCACCACAGCCATCATTAGATGACTCATCTCTATCTCTGACTCATCTCTTATCTCTGACTCATTGCTGACATATGTGTACCTGCCCTAAAGTCACTTACACCTTATATATATCCAGCCATGTACCTAGAAGAACTTCACTTTAATCTTACTAGGTTTTACCTGGAACATCTCTTGCTTAAGACCTCCAATCTTAAGTCATCATGAACCAATATTCAAGTCAGAGACACTCTAGATTAAAGTGCTACTCTGACCCTCTCCATCAGGGAGGTCCCAGAAACCCAGAAACCAGAACCAGGCAGAGAGAAACATAATGTTTTCTGTACCCAGAAACATCACTAGACCAGACAATCAGGATGTCAGCACCCACCACCTCAGAACTTAAAGCAGGAGCTCCAATGTCTTATGATGGAAGCCCCCAGAAAGCTTTACGATGGTTGTATTCAATTAAGGCATACTTTGCCCTTAATACTACAATCTACAACACCGATGAAAAGAAAGTCATTACTGCTCTCATGTACATGACCAAAGATAGCGCTATGGGATGGGCTCTCACCTTCTATACCGAGGTTGATAATTCCATCTCCAAGTCCTATGGAACTTTCATGAATTTTGAAACAAAATTCAAAGAAGCCTTTGTACCAGCGAATGCCATTGGCACAGCCATGAATAAGCTCCGCACTTTGAAACAAATGGGTGATCTCACTTCCTATGTTGCCAGCTTCAAGACCCTTGCCACACAAGCCTCTGTAAAGCAAGATGCCATCCTGATCACCTTTTTCAACAATGGGCTTAAGAAAGGGATCATCAATTCTATTTTTCAAATGGAAACCATCCCCACAGACTTCGACAAATATGTCGCTGCAGCCATTAGGCTTGATAGCAACTGGCAGAGAGGTGCCATGTTCCATCAGAACAATCGCACCACCACCAAACTGACTGGACAATGATATATGCCCAGACCCTCTATTGATCGGCATGATCCAAATGCCATGGAGGTAGATCGACTTTCCAAAGCAGAGAGAAGCAACCATCTGAAGAAAGGGTTATGCTTCACGTGTCACCAGAAGGGACATATGACCAGGGCCTGCCCACAAAAGAAGAACAGAAAGACCCTGGTTTATCATGAAGAGATAGAAGAAAGCAACAAAGAAGATGAGGATACAATGATCCGTCACCTTGCCGAGGATTTTTAATGTGGAAGACTGGATCAATGTCAGTATCTTCCAATGTACCTATCAGGCTTGTGTGAAGTATTGGAATCAGAAAGGAACTTCGTGTTCCCATTTCTCTCATCTCTAAAACTCGTCTGAAAACCGTTGAAACAACAGCTGTTGTTGACTCCGGCGCTGCTGGAACATTTATCTCAGAGGATTTTGTCAAAATCCACAGGATTCAAACACACAAACTCACAAAACCATTCTGAGTCACCACTGTGGATGGAAGTTATGCAAAGGGGGGCACTATCATGCGATATTGCATCCTCATTGTGAAGATTGACAAACGATCCATGATTGGAAAATTTAATATCACATGGCTTGGCCATCGTGATCAGATTCTACTCAGGATTCCTTGGCTACATGCCATGGGCCCAGTAATTAGATGGAAAGCCGAAACACTGAAACTCTCTCGAAGCAAGAAGAGCAATCTGATTGAAGAAGATGTCAATAATGAATGAAAGAGGAATGGTCTCCCATCCCTCTTCAAAAGAAATCAAGAAATTGAACCAACTCCAGTTGTAGTGCTGCCAAAGGTGCCTCCTGTGAAATCGGTTGCGAACCCATTGCCTAAAGAACCATTACCTTGGCCAAGTATTGAAGAAATCCCAGATGAAGAAGAATCCCTGGC